AAACTTGACTTGTGCACTCCTGATTGTGTCAGGTACTCCTGACTTGTGCCAGGTCTTCTAATGTCAACGAAAGAAGGTAAAGAGTTTGAATTGCTACAGGAATACGATGGCAACGATGTCGTTGAAGATATCATATTTGCGGTTTTAGTTTGGTGGCTACAGATGCATCCACATAACCCTCAGCCACAGCACTGGATTTCCATACCCCTAGACGCTTCAGCTATAAAATATCAGCTCCGCTGTTTACCAGCAACATAGCCACTGTTCCTCTAAAAGCATGACCTGGGTAGGTTTTCGCATTGGGAAGTTTCAAAAAGCTAGCAATTTTGAACGGAAATTTAAATATAGAGTTGTATCCAAAGGGTTGATTGGTTTTTCTAATCGATATTGAACAAAAAATCCCTCATTTTCAATATATTTTCGTAACTGTGTAAATTCTTTCACAATTTCTATCCAACTTGTGTCAGTTATCATAAATGATCTGCTCTTATAAGTTTTTGTATCGGGAATTTTTATGCAAATTTTGTTTTCTAAAATAGCAATATGCGTAGTTTTCATCTTCAGTAACTCATCACATCGACATGCCCCAGACACACCTACTATAAGCGCAACCTAAATCAATGAAAAGAAATATTTAAAAACAGAAAAAAAAAATTAAAAAAAGCCTTACTTTAATAGGAAAGAATTGTTGAGGTGCTTTCGTGAGAAAATCCTCCAAGTCTTGCCTGGTAAAAATGCAAGACTTCTTTGGCTTAAAACCTACATTCTGGCATTTTTAAAAATCGACAAGTTTGTGATATTTTGATATGTCAGTCTTTTCCCTTAATTCTAGCATTGTCCATATCATGCTGTCCGTAGCCCAAAGAGCTTAAATATGCCATCAAGACTGTTTCCGAAGCGATATTCTTAGCATTTCTTTCGGCACATCATTTTTCGTATACTTTCAATGCTATTTCATATCGCCCCCTACTTTTCTCTGGAAGTAACCTGGCTTCTGCTCCTTTTGCAGCTTCTGTAAGTTCTGATGGAATACCAATATTAAAATAGTCTTCATTATCGGAACTTTCCGGCAACATTCTGGCTTTCTATGTTATATAAATTCGAAAAATAAATTCGAACGAGGAATTCAAAACTGTCACTTACTTGTTTGTTTTGCTTGTGAAGGTTTGCGCCATAACAACCACTGGTACCGATAACTATAGATATGGAAATGTCAAAACAGACAAATTTTCGCATTTTTTTTTTCAAAATAAAATACTGTCCCTATTTTTTAATTAATGATGTGGTTGTAAATAAAATAGTATACAAATCTCGTAGAAAAGTTTTCATTATTTAGTTAATCTCTCGACAGTAATGAAACACTTTCCTCCTCGGAATGTAATATACTATTATTTTCAGTATCATATTATTTTTAGCATTTTTTATTATATTACATATCTTTATATTACAATTTCTTTAATTTGATACCCTTCTTCCCCTAGGAGATGCAAGACCTTGTCGTTGGTGGGGAAGCTCCTGGTCAGGTGCTGGTGGGAATCCCCCCTAGCACTTGGCTTGGTCTAAGAAGCATCTCACTCATCGTCTTGCTCCTGACTGTAGTGTCGTGGCCAGGGAATTGCACCAAGACATATAACGATACCGGGCGGGGCTACGGACAGCCTCAACCTTGGGGCATCGGGGGGCACCCCATTGTATTTTACCCCTTACTTCTACATGCGGGGCTCTGTAGAAGTGGACCGACTGTCCCCTAGCGACTCATGGGAACACTATGAGATCTGGTAATAATAGTAATAAAAACATCACCGGTGAAGCTGTGTGGAAACCCCCTAGCAACACTGGGAACAGTAACAATGAAAGTTCCAAGGGGCCAAACCCAAAGAGAACTACAGGAGAGGTGGCTGACACTTGCGTGACACCATCCTCTGCAAGTGGCATACAAGTTACCACCTCCTCCAAGGGTCGGGAGCCTACCTCCTACCTCTAAACCCAACAGGCGACACAAGCTATCGTTTCGTCTACCCGGCCTGGGTCGTAGCTCCTCGACTGTGAAGGACACGGGTCTCCGTAGGAAGTCCTGGGACTGTATGATGAGTTATAACTCAAGAAAGGGGGACACAATAGATCTCTGAGGTCGCAGAGATTAAGCCCCCTCCCACTTATTCTAAATTCTAATTCTAAAATTTGATACCCTTTATTGTTACTGTACACTTTGGATGAAACAGAAATTAAGGGCAATCTACACTTAACACTTTTAGTAATTCCTTCAAGATAATCATTAAAATTGCACATACATCACAGGCAAATAGAGAGCAAATAGAAAGAAGAAGGTTCAAAAAAAGATCTGAAGAAAAAACTTACCGTTTTACATAAAAAATGGGAGATATTAAAAATAAGCCGATAGCATAAAAATGCTATCAAAAAACTCGTTATGACGACAATTTATGTAGATTTAATTAATACTTTCCTTACAGCGTTTCTTTTGAGGATAATTCCTAATACGTACTTTCTAGTTCTTGTTGAATACATGTCGTATAATATATTTTATTTGACGTTTACATTGGCATTAGTAATTAATAATTAAGTAATTTCTTATTTAATTATAGGCATTAAACGTTAATATTACTTGTTTATGTATTAAATTACTGCATAATATGATAGTCGTTATATAATTCGACATAATAATTTTAATTTCATATTACTTTTATTTAATTTAATAAAAAATATTTTAAGGATTGTACAGGGTGGCGCCTCTCATACGCCGCGGAAGCTCCAAGGAGAACGGTAGTTTATATTGAAATGAAATTTTGGCAGCATATGTGGGTTAACTGAAAGCATTTTATAAAAATATATAGAATTATACAGGGTGTCCCCAAAAAAAGTTACACATCAAAGTTGTGTTTTTTCTAATGGAACACCCTATATATTAATTGATTTTCGGATTCTAGGAAAAAATAAAGGTGAGTTTTATTAAAGAAGCATATATCTAAAATCTAAAGATTTTGACATATTTCACATTTTATAAAAATGAAGAGTAAATTTTAAAATTCAATAACAGCTATCTAAATTTTAGTTGACCCTGTATAGCCTGATATTTAATTACAGTAACCATGTATGTTAAACCAAATTGAAATTTGAGCCAAAAAGTTATACAGGGTGAGACAAAATTAATATGGAACATTAGTCACTTTTAAAAGCAAGTTACTCCTTTATTTTAAATGGAACACCCAGTATATTTTCCGGTGTTCAATGGGGAATTTATATATCTTCAAAATATTATTAAGGTTGCCTATCCCTCAGACAAAGATTTTCCTAGATATTTTAATTTTTATGATTTTTCGTCATTAGATCTTTATTATTTAAAAAAAAATCTAGGTGGCTGGGTTGTATACCTTTTGTTAATTTAACAAAAATTAAAGATTGTAGAGTAAAATACTCAACGGAAATAAAAAGATACACATTTAAAACATATTTTAATTATTACAAAACTAAAACTAAACATAAACTTATAATTATGTGACAAAAATTAACTAGATGAAATCAAATGCTCAAAATGCTTCCTTTCTCGTTAACTGCATAAAATGATTTTCTTTTCAAAAGGATCTTCTCATTTTAAAAGGTATATGTGGAAGTCTACCTCGAAAAGCAGCTACAATAATTTCTCTCATGTTGACAATAGTTGGTCGAGTTTTGTAAAACTGTCTTTAACATATTCCCATAAAAAATCCAGACTAGATAAAATCAGGAGCATTTAAGTATTCTATTAATTGGTGAATGCAGTATGCATTCACCCAACTAATAGTATCATAACAATTCTCTCTGATGTAAGATAAGTTTGAATTTTCGGCAAATTTCTGAGAAATTTTGTTGTTTTAACTGACACAAAATGATAACTAGTTGGCAAGTTGGACTAATTAGACAGCTATGTTGAAGTAACGTCAGACATATCATAGCCACCTAGATTTTATCAAATAATAAAGATCTACTCAGATCAAATCATGTAAATGAAAATATCTAGGAAAATCTTTGTTTGAGGGGTAGGCAACCCTAGTAGTATTTTGAAGAGACATGAATTCTCCATTGAATATCGGAATAATATACTGGGTGTTCCATTTAAAATAAAAGAGTAACATGCTTTTAAAGGTGACCAATGTTCAATATTAATTTTTGTTTCCCCCTGTATAACTTTTTGGACCAAGTTTTAATTTGATTTAAAGTACAATAGTTAATTTAACTACATATTAGACTATATCGGGTAAATTCCAATTTAGGTAGTTTTTATTGTAATTTAAAAATTCTTCTTTATTTTTAGAAAATGTTAAATATGCCAAAAACCAAAAACCAAAAACCAAAAACCTTACATTTTAGTCATATACTTCTCTTATAAAACTCACCTTTATTTTTCTCCCAGGATCTAAAAATCAATTAATATTTAGGGTGTTCCATTACAAAAGACACAACTTTGATACGTAACTTTTTTAGGGGGCACTCTGTAGAACTCTCTATATTTTTAAAAAGTGCTCTGAATTAACCTACATATGCTCACAAAATTTAATTTCAATACAAAATGTCGTTCTCCTTGGAGCCTCCACGGCGTATGAGAGGCTCCACCCTGTATAGTGTCTTTATTCTTCATTCTTAATCCCATGTTATTATTTGTTGTTTGTTTTTGTGCCTAGAATATTTTAATACTTGAAATTCGGACACATTGAGTTAATAATAATAAAAAGGGACTAAACCGAGATATTTTAAAACTGAGCAATCTCTCTCTCTCTCTCTCTCTGAATTATGAGTCTTTCCATATAGTCCGGACTTTTCCCTCATATGTCCAAAATATTTTAGATGTTTTAGTCGGATTTTAAGTTTTTTTTTTTATTTTATTTTTTTAAGCCTGTTAGTAATATTAAGTTCATTTATAATGGAAACGTTTGTACGGCGTGCAGTCCATGGGATACGGAGCATACATCTATAACAATACATCTCGGTAGCATCGACCTTCTTACGTTCCGCTTGCCTGAGAGTCCATGAATCGCAGCCATACGTCAATATTGGGAGTACGAAACAGTTGACTAGCCGGTTTTTGATGGCTCTTGAAATCTGGCGGTCTTTCCAGATCTTGGTCAGTCTTCCAACAACTACCTTTGCCATGTTGCACCTACGCTTCACCTCTTCTTCCGATGTGCCAGTATTTGTCAATAGTGATCCCAGGTATACGTATGACTTAACGACTTCAGAGCGGTCGATATGACTTATATTTGGATGATTGTTATATTGCCTATCAACTATCATAATTTTATTTGTTTGTGTATTTAGTTCCAGACCGAGCCGATTGCTTTCGTTTTCTACCCTATTTACTAAATTGATTAACTCTTCTTGACTGCTAGCGAGTAGTGCTGTATCATCTGCAAAGCGTAGATTATTTATTTTTAGGCTATTTATTGAAATGCCTCCTTCCCATGTTTCTAGCGACCTTCTCATTATGTATTCTCCATATTATGTTAAATAGTTTAGGAGACAATATACACTCCTGTCCGACTCCTTGTTCGAGGGAAAATTTCTTGGAAGCTGAATCCAGTATTCTAACTGATCCTGTAGTGTGCTGATACAACTGGATGATAAGCGAAATAAGGTGTTGTGGTACCCCCACTTCCTTTAAGATTTTCCACAGGTGATGCCATCCAACTTTATCGAAAGCTTTTTTATAGTCTACGAAACAAATATAAAGAGAGTTGTTGAATTCTCTTGCTTTCTCTATGATTTGGCGCATATTCAGAAGATGTTCCCGAGTGCCTCTGCCCTTGGTGAAACCTGCTTGTTCTGCTGCAATTTCTCTTTCTAGAAAAGCTTTCAGTCTTTCATTTATAATTTGCAACATTACTTTACTGGCATGTGAGATGAGGAAAATTGTACGATAGTTGCTGCACTTATGTAAGCTCTCTTTCTTGTGGAGAGTGACAATGGTGGAGTGTGTCCAGTCGTCGGGCCATTCTCCTTAGCAATTTGATCGTATTATTAAGTCACACTATAACCATCCAATGTATTTCATAACAGTGACAATAACAGCTAATGAGAATTAATTGCACATACAAAATACAAAATATAATTTTTTAGGTTTGATATTTTTTTTTATTTTGTAGTATTAATGTTTAACAAGAACGTAAGATAACCAGGATTAGAGGTCAGTATTAAAACGACAGTGATATAAACGTTGTTATTATGTCGTTATATGTCGTCATCGGATCGAATAATTCGGCATTTTGCAAAAATACTAGGCATATTATAAAACGCCGGCGTTTTTAACACAAGAAAGATATTTTACAAAGGGCATATTTTGTTTTCAGTTGTTTTGCAAAATGCCTAGGACATTTCTTGAACTTCTCTTTCAAAATTAGAAAATATTGGCACAAAAAGTGATAATTCTGTTAAATGGAGTATAGTTAAGGACGATTTTTATAAAGACCTAATTTCATTTTATTCTAAAAGAATAAATGTTCCAAAAAAAGGAAACAAAGTTCCTCAAAGAGTACTCCCTGTACACAGAATCAAATTAGAGAGTATAATAATTAAACGAGATTAATATTAAGGTTTTAATATAGTTTGTGTTTAAAATTATGTTACTCATAATTATAATTTATGAAATAGTGTTCAAGTTGTTTTCGTCTAAACAAAATAAAATGTTGACATAAATTATTGTTTTTGTGTAGGAAAATATGGGGTATTTTTTATTAAAGCGTAAATTATTCAAAAAAATTGTAAAACAATTGAAAACAGGCAGTCTTTTTGCAAAAGTTTACAGAAAATATAGTCATTTTTTAATATGCCTTAATTCTGATTAAATTTTTGGCAAAGTGACTGAAAATAGAACTTTTTTTGTAAACTTCCTTCTTTTGTTTAAAAACACGGCGTTTTATAATATGCCTGGTCTTTTTGCAAAAAGCCGGATTATTCTACTATATATTCTTTATAATATGTTAAATATATTTTTGTTTGGAGTTTTCTATAGAATATTAATTTATAGATATACAAAACATGAGAGAGAAAACAAAGCAATTATTGGTTATATCTTCTTGGCACAATTTCTTATACTCCTTAATAGTTATGACGATTCTAATACGATAACATCATTGTTCTTACATGAATTAATAGCAAAATTATATCTGAGAAAATATCTTTACCAATTCCAACGAGGCCTCTATATCCAATGATGATAATTTCAGGTTTGCAAACAATGAAATGCCTATTAACAGATTATCTTTAGAAAGCAGAATGGTTTAAATAGGTAAATAAAATGTTTAATCACGCTACCATTACAGCAAATTTCTGTTGTAGGTTTTTTGATTTCAAGACAAATTTGTTTACAAACGAAAGATATTTAATGTTTCAAAAAAGCATCATACTTCTCACTTCCTCTCATTCATAAGAACATCGCCTTTTAGAACTCTAGAGTCTCATTTTTAAAAATTGTCAGTTTTGTACAAACTTGATTGTTCCATGGTATTCTCGTGCCATATTTAAAAATCTAATCTAGCCCATCTCGCCTCGTCTTCCAATATAATTTGAAGAGGAGGTAAGTCAAATAGTGTTTTTATAGCTTTTGACGGCGTGAAAGGGCAGGCGCCGGCCACCGCTAAGGACGCTTGTTGTTGTAATTTGGACAATTTATTATTTGCCTTTGTTTGGTTAGCTTTCTGCCAACAAGCAACGGTACCATACATTATGGGTCTGATGGCTGTCACGTATGGCCAGTACATATTTTTGGGGTTTAAACTCAGTTTCTGTAGTAAATTTGGCGGTATGCCCATAAAGCATGGTACGTATTTTTGAGCTTTTTTTCAGTCGGGAGGCCCAGTTAAATTTTTGTCCAGTTTGTCTATTTTTATTCTTCTGGCGAATGCTATGATCCCGGTTTTCTTCGGATTTATACTTTGCTTCTCCAATGTACATCAGCCCCGAATTGTATCTATGACTTCCTATATCTTTGAAGAGATGTACTTATCTTTGTGTCCTTTGGATTACCAGGTCATCCGCATATGATTGTGCTTCAACGGCCATCAGGTCGTCCGCTCACCCGTTACTATTATTTTTTTGAGCATGCGCTCAATCCATTAAGTTATGGTTGTATCGAATCCTCGAGCTTTTACAGCGCGCAGAAGAGTGATTGACGGGTAATATTGTTAAATGCTTCGTCAATGTCTAAGACTATTCTTACCGCAATTTCATTGCGATCAAGGGTATTCACCTACAAAATTGTTGTGAGGGCTAGATCTTGTCTTGAATTTCAAAACAAGACAAGACTTTAATATGCAAGAAATTTCAAGAGTCTTGCAAGATTTCTTGAATTCAAGATTTCTTGAAAGTTAGAAATGATACATTTTTTTAAGTGATAATTAGGTCTTTGCGCAAGTTATGCCGGGTTTATACAAAATTTACATAGTCGTCGTCACAATCATAGTCATAATCATAAAAGTTAAAATATCCACTTCTTATAAACCTTTTGACATCTACCATGAACTTAGCCTTTAATTATGTTACCCAACTTCATTGATATAAAAATTATGATTATGAAAATGTTCTATAAACGCACATTAAAATTGCATTGTGATTATGACGATGATTAAGACTGTGATTATGATTACGACTCATGCAAATGTTGTATAAATCCGGCATTAATATTGACCAGTGTTCATTTTTTTCTATCATAGCCAGTGTTTTAGAATTGAGAATGAAATAAAATAAAGTCGAAGCAACAAACCGTATATTGGTAATTGGTATTATACCTACACAAAATTATATTGGTATAATGGTATTATAAAAAAAACTAACGGTAGTTGAAATTAATGGTGGGTTCGTGGAGCACGCTATTTGCGCTATTTGGTACTACTTTTCATGTACGAAATTGCTCCGCGAACAAAAAGTAGTATCAAATAGCGCAAATAGTACACTATAGCATGACCTTTCCGTACACCCTGTGTCCAAACTTAAATCCCCACATTCTTTGTCAGTATGTCAGTGTTTGTTTGCTCATTATTACTAACAGCGAATTCACTCCCACTGTCTTGGAAGGGTTCGGACTCGGTTTCACTATCGACACTTATATTATTTATACTGCTCATATTTCATATTAAAACTTTTTCTGGTAGTGAGTAATACTTAAATAACTTAACGCACAAGGTTATGTACGAAATAATAACCCAAAACCCATAAATCGAACTTATGGTTACCTTACTTATTACTTATAATTACTATATTACTTATGATTACCGTACTTATTCTTATTCAGCTTTTATTTGGTAATGGCTCCTGTTTCATCAAACGGACGAGTTGACGTAATTCGTTTGAGGTCCGTTAAGATTTTTTTCCTAAAATTAGCATCGTTGTTGTTAATTTTTCCGTATTACATTTTGTATACGACGCTTTCTATGAAATAAAATATAGAAATATTGAATTTCAAGACAAGAATAGAAATTGATTTTCAAGACAAGAATTCTTGTCTTGTGCAACACTAGCCAAGACAGGATGCTGTCAGAAGCAGAGGCAGATCTCCGACAAGATGGTCAGATGACTTAAAGAGATTTAGAGGAAACTGGATCCAAGTGGCACAGGACCGAGAAGAGTGGAAAGATTTGAGGGAGATCTACGTTCAGCAGTGGATACTTCAGGCTGGTTGATGATGATGATGACGACACACATTTTGGACATAAGAAATAAAACATATTATACAAAATTAACAACAACATGATTATAAATAAAGCATTGATAAAATCATGAATTCAGCTAATAAGCTGAACTATCTGAACTATTTCTTTCTCGATTTCTTTCTTTCAATTATTTCAATAGAAATAATTCAAATACAACGCTTAAATAAAAGCTCTCGTTTTCTATTTCAATGAAAATCCAATATATTTGAGACACCGGACGTAATATAATAATAGAAAGTAAGATTCAAGATGCCTCGCTACAGTATCTCGATTCGATATTCGCACTGGACTATATATTCCAGCTTTCACTTGAAATCCGTGGGCCGTGTGTGGCTGCAGGGCAGAGCAACGCTTTGTCTGGCCGTGAGAAAAATGCAGTAGTTCCCACGAGACGTGCCGTTTAGATAGCAGCTTCTGTATATTCATTTTTCCGTATTTTGAATCAATTTA